TGCCTTTGAAAACTCGCTAGAGAGTCAGCTATGGGTTATTCCAACTTGATGGTGGTACATAACAAAAACTCTGTGTGTGTGTGTGTGTGTGTGTGTACACACACGCATTATATAGATATTTTTTAATATTTGTTTTTGTATGTTGTATATAAATGTATTGTTTTTGTTGTTGCATACCATCAAATTGGAACCAACCTATCTATGGCTGACTCTCTAGTGTTGTATGTGTATGCATGAATGATTATGTAAACTTATCTCTGACTTCGAATCTAGCCAAAATAATTTGAAATACACTTCCAAAAGGGCCCAAATTGCACCCTGGATTTGAAAAGCGCCATTAGAAAGTCCCTGGATAGTTTCCCCCCCTCACAGGCTCTCATTCTGTCAGTCTACCCAGGCTCCAAGAATATAAGCTTTTCTTATACTGACCTGAGCCAAATTAAGAACTGAATTGTTCTTATGTAGCATCAAGTTAGAACAACTCATAGCTGACTCTCTCTTTGTCCACTAGAGCACCAGAGCTCTTGAGAATTGAATTAGGAGTTAAAATTGACTGTAAAACCAAACAGAGCAAGCCTGGATGTGCCCCGGGCTCCACACGCCTTCTGTGGAAGCTATCATCCCTGGTGCTCCTCCTGGCCCCAGCCTCGCTGCACACACCTGGCTGAGTGCCTCCAGGTGACACTCTGACCTCACTCCATTTATCCTATTCTCTCCAGGTCTTCAAGAAGCCCGACCTCGTCAACCACCCTCTTTACCCAGAAACCACTGAAATCATCCACCACCTTAATGAGGAGGCCTTACCCAAAATGTGCCCAGAACTAAGAAGGAACTCTGAACTACATGGCAGCACTGACAGTGGCTTTGGCAGTGCCAAGCCCTCACTACAGACTGAAGAGCCCCAGTTCCTCCTCCCTGCACCCCACTTCCAAGCTGCTGGGACCATGGAGCAGGGGCAGTTTCTAACGCTGCAGACCGGTTGCAGTGGGGACAGCAGCAACAGCACAGACAGTGGGATCTGCCTGCAGGAGCCCAGCTCGAGTCCCAAAACAAGGCCTGAGTGGGAACTGCAGGTGAGGTGCAACAGCCAGAACCAGGATGACAGTGGCATTGGCCTAGTCCAGAACTCTGCAGGGCGGCCTGGGGACACACAAGGTGGCTCAGAGTTGGATGAGGTCCATCCCCTGAGGCCTGAGCTCCCTGGGGAAGAACACCCAACTGCAGTGACATTCCAGGGTTACCTGAAGCAGACAAGATGCACAGAGGAGAAGGCAGCCCAAGTCGACTGCCTGGGGGAGCAGTGCTCCTCCACAGGGGAGCTTGGCCCCACATTCCAGACATGTCTAGATGCAGAAGAAGTTTGGCCTCCTTCAACCCTGGCCAAGGGCTATATGAAGCAGGACCCCTCAGGAACAAATCTTTTTCTCTCTGAAGCCCCAGCTGGACAGTGGAACCCGCCAGGTGAGGCCTGGCCATTCCTGGGATTGACCAATTGTGATGGCCTGGGAACCTGTGACTGGAGCTGTACCACTTCAGACGGCATGACAGCTCCCGGCGGTCTCCTCAGTACCTTTGACTCAGACCTGAGGGCCCTGCCGCTGATCTCCAGCTTGCACACAAATGAGTGACCAGGCCAATGAGATGCCCTGGATTTTAGCCATATTTGTTCTTTCCCTGGTAGCCCCTGGACAAAGATTGTCCTCAGGGGAGGAGTGTCTTCCCCTAGAGATCAGAGGGAAAGCATAAGGCCAGGGTGGCCACTTTTCCATAAGCCAGGCTGACCAAGCTGGCTAGCTGCTGTGACCCAGGCAGAAGGATACCTCACTGAGTTGGAATCAGGTTTGTGGTGACACTGGCCTGCTCTGCTGAATGAGTGGACCCTTAAGAGTCCAGGCAGAGCTAAGAAGGTCAGGGCAGAGTCCTCCCCACTATCTGGAGACTGCCCTGTCTCAGAAAGGATTGTGCACTCAAGAGGAATCACTGGATTTTCTGGAGTTGTGGTGAGGCCACCAGCCTAAAGTCAGCTAGGACCAAGCTACCCGCTTCTGCTAGCCGTATGTTGGCTTTCAGTGGACTGGGAGGATGAAGACTCAGGAACGTTGTACAGTTGTCATTGAGGAGGCAACAGGTTCTGAGTCTGAGGCACAAATGGATGCACAGAGAATGCAGGGCCATTTCACCGGAAGGCCTTCAAATGTGCCTGCACAGGTCAGTGTGTCAGCACATCCTGGAGCCACAAGCTGGGTGACATGAGCTGAAATGAAGCCCAGGACGGGGGTCCTGGTTCATCATCCCTCCTCTGCTGGTGTTTCCATTGTCTGTGTCCTGACATCCCCCCTTCCTGGGAAATCCAGGAACACCTGCGAGGGCCCTTACAGCGCCAGGTCAGGACACTGGCTGTCTCCACCCTGCTGTTCCCCATCTTGCTGACCTGACCATACCAGTGACGCCATGGTCAGTCAGATTGGTCACACTTCAGTTTCTCAGGCATGTTCTGGGCTTGGGCATCAGCTGACATTCTCCTCAGGGAATCAGGGATGGGACCTGTCCTGTTTTTCTGCTGATGTCCAGCCTCAGACCCAGAGGACAGGGCTCTAGGCTGGAAGTCCTGCCCTCAGTGTTCAGCAGGGTGGCTTTGGTCTCAGCCAGCCACTTTCTCTCAGAGAGCCTCATTTCCCCCTCTGGAGGAAGGAACTCTGCCTCCAGGACCCTTGCTCTGCCAGGTGTTGGCCAAGCTGGCTTCTGGGGTACATCATAACCCTGCCTGGCCCTGGGCTGGGAGGAAGTGGGCTGTGGCCACATCTGCACAGAGCGAGCCCCTCTCTCATGCTCAGGCCTAGCAGAGGGCACAGAAGTTCATGCTAGTGATCGTGCTAGCAGAGCTGTGGGGTCCAGCAAGGTCAGGTGTGGCCCTTGTTTCCCCCCTAGCCAGCTCGTAATCTGTCCTCAAACAAACCCAGCTGGCAGTCCAGGAATGGGAATCCAGGAGGAGTGACGGGCCTGCAGTTGTCCAGTGTTTCTGTCACTTTGTAAGGACCCTAGCAAGCCAGCTCTGGCTTTGTCCTCTTTGCCACGAAGCTCTGAGGTCTGATAACTGGGCACCCTCTAAAACCTTTGACAGATTTCCTCAAGGCTCCCTTGAAAGGTTTATTTCTTTTGGTCATTTGTTTATTTATTAAAGAGGTAGCATAGTCCAGTGGGGGGGGGGGATTCTGGAAACGTCAAGAGTTCTGGCTTCACTATTTATGCTTGTGTGACCTTAGGCAAATCACCGCTCCTCTTGAGCCTCAGTTTTCTCCTCTGTAAAACTGGAAAGGAACGCCTGCCTTGTGTGTAGTTCATGGAAATGCGAGAGTCCATTGAGAAAATGGATGTGAATACAAAGCTCTGTGAATGGTGTATGTCTACCCCCATCCCAATAAATTGAGGAATCTTGTGACACCAATCAAAGACCTGATGATTGTTAGCATTTGTCGAGTCAAGTATGACCCATAGTGCTCCTGTGAACAACAGATCTGAACCCTGCCCTATCCTGTGCCATCCTCACACTTCCTTACACACTGGAGCCTAGTGCAGCAGTCACTGTGTCAATCTACTTGGTCGAAGGTCTTTTTCTCCTTTGTTGCCCCTCTACCTTTCAAAGCATGAAGTTTCTTTCCAAAAAATAATGTCACTTGGCAACATGCCCAAAGTATGTGATATGAAGCTTTATCATCTCTTCCTCCAAGGAGCATTCTGCCTGTACTTTCTCCAAGATGTGTTTGTTCTTTCGGCAGTCCATGGCATGCTTAGTACTCTCCAACACCATGGCTCGGAGGCATCCTGTATCTCTGATGATACTGTACCTGAAAGAGGATGGTTGTTGATCGTTGAGAAGGGAAATAGCTAGGATCTAGGATGTCAGCTTCAAAGAAACAATACTAAGAACTCAGACAAACACAGATTTCAAGGAACTGCACCAGCATTTATTGTTAGTGGCCTTGGGAAAACTACTTAACCTCTCAAAGTCCCAGTCTTCACGTCTGTAAAATGGGAACATCAGCGAGATGCTGTGCATTTAAATGAGATCACATAGAATCATAAGAATGTGACACAGTGCCTGGCATGCATGTGTGCTCTATACATTATACCAGTTATTAGCTGGTAAGGAAGTGGAGGGAAATGGCCCATTTTTCTTGGAAATGGTGACACTGAAAGAGATAAGCAGTTTGTAGAAGAGTTTTTGAAAAACCTGAAGAGGAAATGGTGAAAGGTACAGCCTAACATTTTGAACATAGGCTCTGACAGCTTGGAAAGAAGATCCCAGAGCTCACTTTCCCCAGGGAAGACCTCCTTGTCCCCCTGCTGTCTTCTCCCCTTGGTGTGGGAGGGAGCACATCCAAGGGGTCATTTTCTAAGTGTGGAATGTGTGCATCCTCCACTAAAGGCGCCACTCCTTCCACAGCAAGCCCCTCTGGCCTTGAAGTTCTCCAAAACTCAGCCTAGTGGGTGGATCAAACCGAGGCCTTGGCCTGCACCACCACCAGCTGTACTTTTTATCCTGATCCCAGAGGAGCAGACTGGGGACACATCCCTCTTCTCCTGTGTCTCTTCAACTACACCTCTCCCCTTTCACTCAAAGAAAATCCCCAATTCTGGGGAAGTGTCAATGCTATCACCTTCAGAGAACTTGACTAATATCACACGTTAGACCTGCTGGAACTGCTCCTGTGGGCCTGCTTGTCCTAGAGTTGACTACTTTCTCCTAGAAATGAGATGGCAAAAAGGGCTTCTGCCCCAAGGAAAGGGCCCCAGAGGCACCAAAGAGGACAAAGATCCAGAGAATTAGCCTCCAGGAAATTGGGTCGATGCAGTTGGAAGAGGCAAGGTAGGGAGCAACTTGACAGGCGGAGAGTCAAAGCCCCTGGTTCTGGGTACTGGGCCAGCCTGCTTCACTTCTCTAAAGTTAATAAGGGCCTGTGATGTTCTCCCAGTGCCTTCAAGCTGCCCTCTCATTCCAACTTGGGTGATGGGAGGAACTGAGATCCAGTCAGGGCAGATGAGACACTTCTGGATTTCTTGGGAATTTGGATTGAAGTCCCCAGCAGACGGCCCTGATGACTCTTGCACTGCCAAACCTTCAAGGGCCTTTCCAGTGTGAGGAATGTGTGATTCTTTGTTTCTATGAGCTCATGGAACTTCCTCTCCAAGGAGAGAGGGGAACTTGGCCAGCATTGAAGAGGAAATTCTACTGAACTGTGTTTTCCCAATGTTGTAAATAGCTATAGTCAAAGAGTCAACCTTGCCCTCATCAAATATCTGCGTCCTTATCCCATACCCCCACACCCTCATCTCTTCCAGGCACACTACTATTTAATAAGCTCAGCCCCTGAGCAAAGCTGGATGACACTCCAGAGCCCTCCCCCACTCACATTGCACCACTGCCAGATAGGTTTTGTTGCCTCTGCACATGAGCAGCTGAGAAAGGGGAGCTGTGGGCTCGTGCTCACCTGGGGCTAAACACTGGTTGAGTGTGAGGCAGGTTGAAGCCGTGAGGGCTGATTTTATCAAGCCCAAGCCTAGAGCACACTAAGCTGTGCTGGTGCTCGGAGGTTTGACTCATATTTCCTGTAGTGCTCATGGGTTCAGGGGTTTCTTTTAAACCAAACCCACAATTTCAAGTTCAATGCCTTTTTATTCATGACCCTTGCTCACTGTTGGCTTTCTCTGGACTGTAAACAGCTCCATAAACACTTGAAAAGTGAAGTGAGACCCATGAACACTTCCAACAAAGGGCTGGAGTGGGGTGAAATTGTTAAGCTGTCATCAAGTCGACTGCAGCTCATAACAGATCTGGACTTGGCGTTGTGCTACACCCTCCTCAGGATCTCCGCAGTGCTCAAAGCCGTTGTTGCATTGTGTCAATCCGTCCCAGTGAGATTCTCCTCACTGCTGACCTTTCACAGTGTGACGTCCTTTACCAAGGACTGGCCCTACTGACAGCGTGCTCGAAGGACGTGAGATGAAGTTTCAGCATCTTCGCCTCTAAAGAGCACCCTGGCTGCACTTCCTCCAAGAGAGATTTGTTCTTTCAGCGGTCCATGGGCTATTCAGTACTTCCATCGCCTTGATCCAAAGGCAGAGAGGCAAAAGGAACCGATGAGCCTGGCCGAAACATGAGCCAAGAATCAGAGGAGATAAAGTGGAGAGAACAGGTCTGCGGGTTTTCTTATCACCATTGTTGTTTTTAGGTGCTGTTGAGTTGATGATAACTCGTAGCAACCCTGTGAACAACAAATCTGAACTTTGTCATATCCTGTGCCATCCTTATCATCTCAGTCACACTCAAGCCTATTGCTGCAGTCACTATATCAATCCATCTCCTTGAGTGTCTTCCTGTCTTTTACTGACTCTGCAACTGAGCCAAGCATGATGTCCCTTTCCAAGGAACAGCCTTTTCTAACAACATGCCAAAAGTATATGAGATGAAGCTTTGCCGTCCTTGCCTCCAAGGAACAATCTGGCTGTACTTTTCCCAAGGCATCTGTTTGACTTGGAAGTCAATGATCCCATGGAGTCCCCAATACCCTGCTCCAGCACCACGATTCAGAGGCATCAATTCTTGTTCTGTCATCTTGATTCATTGTCC